ACTGCAGTTGAAGTAAAAAGGCAACTCAGCTAGGTTGTAGTGTAGAACATCTCAGCAAGAATATGACTGTAGGGCTGGAAAAATAGGTGAGGTCAGGGTGAGGGATCATTCAAGGAAATGAAGGACACTGGACTCTGAGTAAAGACAACAGCTGTTAAGTTAGAAATTTCATTGAACTTCTGTGTGGAATCACCCTAGAATCTGGGAAGTAAGTAGGTAACCAGGTGGAGATCACTTTATAAAAGACTTCTGGGTTTCTGGCTTTGCTACCTACATAGACCTAGTATCATTCATTGATATGTATGGATATATATAGCTAGGTAGATAGTCATTAATATATGTGTGTGTGCAGAAGTGTGGGAGAGAAGTTGGTACAACAGACACTAGCTGTTGAAAGACTTCAGTTTCATATCCTACTGTGTTCCTAGAATTTACAACTCCCTTGCTCATTCGCACGGGTCTCTGGCATCAGTCCTCATATCCTAGCAGCTGTGTTACTGATAAGCCAGTGATTTTACGCAGGGAAAGAGGAGAGCTATGTTATCCTGTGTTCTCAACACTAACATCAGTGGTAAAAAGCAGCGTTCTTTTCCTTCTAAATTTCTCAAGGAAAGGAAGACAGAGAACTACAGACCTTCAGGCCTACAACAAACTGGCCCTCGATGTCAATGTGGAGTTGCCTACAGGAAAATCAACAAACCTTCCCCCTCACCCTTGTCTTACTCTTGAATTGCTGTCTCTGGGATAAGTTTTTACAGCCACTGAATTTAGTACACCAATCTCAAGCATAACCAAATTTCTTTCCTCAAGCTCACAGTCAACAATTTTAAGCTGAACCTCTTAAAGTTTAAAACTGATGTCCATATAATTTTCTTGTTTAAGTAAGCATGTATATGTACAGGTATAGTTATATATAAAATTGTCTCCATGTATGTGTAGATAATATAAATAAAATGTTAGCAAGAAGAGTCTGGAAACAGTTGTGTACCTTTTACACTAATTTCTGTTTATAACAAACTACATTTCCCTAGAATGTACCCCCAAGTATAGTACAGAAACTCTATGGCACTCTGCCTACTCTGTCAGCCTGGGCTACATAGTGAGACCCTGTGTGGGAAAAAAAAACAAAAACCAAAAACCTATGGAAAAGAAAAGGCCACATGGGACCTGCGCTTCAGCACTCCCAGCAATGCACAGCAGAAGAGGGATACAGCCTGGCCAGTGCAAGAGCCCTGGGTGAATCCCTTCTTGGACATAAGGAATGAGAAAAGGAGAGTAGTGCTCTCTACTAGGCCAGGGAACCAGAACCTGGGAACTAAATTATTATTTTATGGGTTTACACCAGTAAAGAAGGATGGAGTACAAACTGCTTCAACTCCTTCTCTATGATGGGCCTCACCACAGCTGAACTTAACCTAAGTCAAGATGAAGTCTTCTAATTGGGAACTGCTCAACCCTAGTGAGTCAGCAGAATTCAGCAGAACCTCTGAAAAAATCCAGACGGCCCATGAGGGTCTACAGTACATACAAATGCAAACTCAGGTTAGACAATTCTCAATCCCCACCTAATCCAAATTAAATACTATTTCCTAGACTCATTCTTCTAATCAAAAGAATAGATGACAAGTAATCTTGGACATACTACATTTGAAGCACCTTGAACACTGAGGTGTAAATATCAACAGCTGGATGAGTGGAGTGTCTGGAGCTTCAGAGAGCAAGACAAGGTCAGAGATACATATTTAGTAGTTGGAGAACAAAGTCAAATAGCAAGTGAAACAAAAGTGGTAGATGAAACCATCAAGGAACAAGGAAGCTGGGGAGGGGGATACGCACTTTCTTGGCTTTTTAGGGCAAAGTTAAGAGACAGAGTAGGTGAAGTCTTCCACTTCACTTTGCTATCACAGTAAGTCAGTACTGTCCTTCCTCCCTACAATCCCACTTTCACACTTTCTTCAAATTCTAACTCCATCTGTATATACTCTCTCTCACAAATTCAAAATTAAAAAAAAAAAAAAAAAAAAAAAAAAAAAAAAAAATCAACCACACCTAGACTTTGAGGATATCTACACTTAATATTTTGGAAAATCCTGTGAAAACCAAAATTCTCCAATTTCCCATTATGGCTGTCTGCTTAACTCTTCATTCTATCATAGAAATACAGTTTCTCTGACTACTACAAAGCAGAGTTACCTTCAACCTCCTTTGGAGCAGTCTGTTAAGGATCACAGTTTATAAATAGCAAAGTAGTATGAAGAAGCCAGGCATCAAAAATACTGAGTGAAAAGGTGTGCTCACAGTAAAATGAGTTGCTGTGTGGAGACTCCCCATGCTGATAACCTCAAGATAAATTTTAGAATGTTTCTGATACAAAACCTGTGGCCTACTTTTTTCCCCTTCCACCCACTACATCCTCTTTTATTAAAAGTAACACAAAGGAAAAACAATTTTGAAATCAGAGTAAGACTTATACATCCCAGCTGCAACTTTGGTAAGATCTCATCATGACTAAGCTCATGACTCATAACCTTCCTAAGTTATGCAATTCATAACAGTTCAATTGAAATCACTTGGTGATCTACAGAATACTCCAAAAACAAAAGTTAAGCTTCTATTTATTATGTATTTTTCACCCTTCAGAAAAATATCATATACCTAATCAATATTTGGCACTACATTTATGAGGTAGATATAAGACGAGTAGATTAATAAACAAATAAATACATCCTTTATGAAACTATTTGTTGGTTTGACTGACCCATTTTTTTCTGCTCATTAAAAAATCTGGGGTGGAGGGATGTCTTTGATTCCAGCACTCCAGAGGAAGAGACAGTTATATCTCCATGAGATCAAGGCCAGCCTGGTAGATATAGTGAGTTTCAAAGGCTGCCAGCTAGGGCTACAGAGAAACCCTGTCTCAAAAAAAAACAACAAAAAATCTAGGATGGGGATGTACTCAATAGTCGAGTGCACCACACATACACAAAAAGATATGGTTCACTTCAATGTCATAAATCCAGCAATCTCTATATTCTCCCATCAGGAGAATCTCCCATCTCCTTACCCAATCTTAAAGTCTGGGCTCAAGATTACCTTCCCTGAGAAGCCTTCATATTGTCTTCATCTGCATCCAGTGTCTCCTTCATGACAATACTACTTGCCATAAATGTGCCCTGGTGCTTGTTTTAGAAGTATCTGTTTCACTATGCCATACACTTTGAAAGATGAATATCATTTGATGTTTGTATTTCCACTGCCATCCATAATTCCTGGCAAACACAACAGGACTTCTTCAAATCTTAGATAAATAACTGGGTAAAGCCTATGGTTTTTCTGGCACAGATAGGCTGTACTTTGCCAGTAAGGAAAAAAAAGTGGCATACACCTTTACTCTCAGTGCTCAGGAGGCAGAGGCAGGCTGACCTCTGGGAGACTGAGCCCAGCCTGGTCTACACAGGGAGTTCCAGAGAAGCTACAGAGAGACCCGTCCTCTAAAAAAAAAAAAAAAAAAAAAAAAAAAAAAAAAAAAAAACTTCAAATGTTATAGAATCAATCTAGAAATAATGTAGTTTCCCTCTACACTGTATGATTCTCTAGGATTCGTACTTATCTTTTCACCTGTAAACAAGAGAATAGGTAAAACAGCTGAGTCAGAATGGTGTAGAAATTATTTCATTGTCTCAAAAATATATGCTTATTCTTACTAACATCCTTAAAATAAAGCAGATCCTTATGCTGTTATCCATTCTGACAACCCAGAGTTCAAATATTCCTTCAGTTCATATTAACTTAGATTTCAGCTCTTCCTAACTAGCTCCCTTACATTTAAGCTACTCTTATAATTCATTTTAAAATAAAAGCAATCACAAGGAAGTTATTCAGATAAGAACATACAATATAGGCAATGCCTGTATCAATTACAACCTCTGTCCAGTAAATAGGAAAAAAAAAAAGCAAGGTAAGAAAGTAATATAAAAATTTTAATTAGCCATAAAAAAAACCCACAGGGTCTCAATCTGCACAATACTATGCTGTATATAGAACATATAACTGAAGGGCTATGAAAAACGACAAGATTACTTCATACAATGCGAAATCACTGATTCACACTTTCTTATTAAATAAGCAGTGTCTTAGATAGCAACTTTTGCAAGCGCAAGGATCCTAAGACACCCTGTAAATTCACTATCACCAAACTTCACGTCTCTTGATGCATGCCCATCCTTAAAATCCAATCTCTCTAGAAAATCTAACAGGAACCCTCTGGTTTCTAGGCTCGAAACTAATCAAACTGGTAATCCCTGGTAATTTACTTGCAAGGGAAGCATTCACAATGGCAACTTCACTAGTTGGTTTGGGAAGTTTTAGCCTCCCTCTATCCCCCAAGCACCTCCAATAAGCGGAAGCCTTAATCAAGGAAGCGCTTTTGACGATCTCGAAACCCAACTCAAGACTCCAAATCTAGTCAGAAAATGCAAATGAAACAACTCCCTTCGCCGCCTTCTAACCAGATCACCGTGTAAGTACCTCCTATAGTAGAAATTCAAGTTAGCTCCTGGAGAGCCAGGAAGCAGTTTGGAACTTCGAGCCCTTCCTTTCCTCCAAGGTCTTGCCTTTGGTATAGGTACTTACTTTTAACACACTAGATTCACTTCTTAGCAAGGCAAGGACACTGACCACACCTCACGCCCCAAACACGAGCCATCCAGGTCCCCGCACCTTTTTTCTAAACATATTCCAAAATACGAACCCAGGGGACAGACCCCTCTCAGGCCCTCAGTACCTATGGGAGACACTCTCCAGGATGTCCTTCCCCATCCAGAGTCAACCCCGTCCCTTTTCTCTCGTTAAATGCCGAGAGCCACACCCCCTTCCCACACTGAAAACTTCGGGATGCGCCAATATCGTCCAACACCCCGCCCCCAAACACCTGATGGGTCCCGCTGCTCCGCCTGTCCCTCTGGGACCAGCCTAAGCCAACTGGCTACCGGGACTATTACCAAGTCGCTGGTGGGAGTCGGAGCCCGGAGCCTCCAGAGGTCGCGGCGCCAGCACGAAAGGCACCAAGCTGGTCAGGAAGAGGAGACACTGCCTCATGTTCCCCACCCGGCCACTGGCTCCACTCTCTGGGCAACCTTCTCCTGACGAGGATTCGGGATGCTTCTCACATTGGGGAGCCGAGGGAATCCTCCCGGCGGAGCCCCTCGGACTTCTCCTTCCCGCGCCGCCTACCGGGAAGACTAGAGGGAGGCTCGAGGCCCCCGGAAGTGCGGACGGCACCGAAAGAGGCCGTCTCAACCTGCATCCGGCCGCCTCGGAACTCAGTACCACCCACAGCCGGAAGCAAGGCCTTGAATCGCCTTCTGGGAGGTGTGGCTTGGCCGGCTGCGATACGGCGGCCATGATGTTGTTGGCCCTGTGCCAGGCGGTTCCTGCTGGGACCCAAGTGGCTCCTTCCTGGTCTCAGTTCATGACGTCCTGAATCGACCCAGCATGGCCTCGCCTCTGTCTTCCTCTGTCCCCCGGTGACCCGAGGGCAGGGCGAGCTCGTGAGCAGGACCTCAGAGGCCGTAGTGGCCGTCTTCATCTTGGTAGCCTCTTAGGCTCCTCTTTAGTGTCTTTATTAAAGGAACTATGGAATCCTGCGGCCCAGGGCTCTGAAGGACCCGCGCGGGCATCGTGGCTCAGGTGACTCGGTGGAGGCATGAAGCCAGCCCCAGAGATGAGCGCTGCTGGTGCCTCTGGTGTCTGCAAAGGCCTGCTGGGCCGACTGAAAAGGCTCAGGTGCAAGTGCAAAGTCAGAACACTTCTTGGCCTGTAGGCAGAGGGTCTCCAAGAACCAGAATCCTAGCCTCTGAGCCCTATACCTGTGAACAGGTGCTTCAACCTCCCAACTAAAAGTTTCTCTTCTTGCTGGGTGTGTCAATCTTTTTTAAAAAATATTATTTTTATGTGTATGTTGTTAGAGTTTGAGAATCGAGAATAATTCCCACAGATACCCAAAAAGATTATACAAAAAGTTTATTCAAGAATTTAAAAAAAGACAACCAAATGGCAGCTAGTCGGGCATAGACTTCATGAGCCAAAGATGGAGTCTGGCCCTGAGCAATAGCAGGCAGGAGCTTTTATTGGGACACTCCAGAGAAACCTGCGCGTGCCAAGCACCAAGCGTCTTTTTAAAATAATTGGATGTCCCCATATCCTGTATATGGGGAAAGACTTGATTGGTAGGGGCTGTCTTCGGGGCTTTGAAATGTGCTGACTAATATCTTTTAGAGTCAGAAGTTTTTGTTCATACCTTATAAGGCATTTACATGTACAATATGCCTGAGCTTATCTGGGCTTGTCTAAAGAAGCTAGCCAAAATGGAGACAAAGCATTCTGGCTCTTCATTCCCCCCTAGAGTTATGACAAGGGTTAAATCTTTAAGCCATGCAAATTACAGAAGTGGAAAGAAGCAGTTAGATGGTGCGTTTACGGCAGTGGACCATTTCTATATTGTCGTAAGGCTCTAAGTCTCGGGGTTCTCGATTTAAATGAGTATACTGCAAATGCAGTACATCCGTCCGCGGATGAATCTGAGCAAGGCATTAAAAATACAGGGGCCACAGGTTACTGCTAATAGGAGTAAGAGGAGAGGTCCGACTGTTGCTGAGATCAAAGTTGTTAACCATGGGGACCAAATAGGGATTTGTACAAATTATGTTGATTTAGTCATTTGTTTTCTCTTTCCTTAAGTCTTTTATGGACCTCAGCCAAAAACTGTTTTATAACTCCCAAGTGATTAACATAGAAACAGCACTGTTCCCCTAGGGCAACACAGAGTCCTCCTTTTTCTAGAAAAAGTAAATCCAGCCCTCTCCTATTTTGTAAGGTTACCTCAGCTAAAGAGGATAGAGAGTCTTAGAGGTGGCGGATAGATGTTTCAAATGATTGTATGTCTAAGTCTATGGCCTGTCTAAGAAGGTGATCATTTTTATCCTGGAGGACTAGCGCTGAAGCCCCCAGACCAGTTGCAGTGGTTACCCCGACCCCGAGTAGAGTAGACAAGACAACTGCAGTGGTTCCTATGGCCCTACAAGGTCTAGACTCTTCTGAGACTCTGGTTTCCATTTCTTTCTCAGTTCTATAATATAGATGGGGAACCAGCTGCACTAGTACACAAAAATACCTGGTCTGGTTTAAAATGGATGAGTGGAGGCATGTAGTTAAGCCAGAGGTACAGGCCCACCAAGGGGAGTTGGGAGACATCATATATGGGTTAGGTGTAGTAGCCCCTATCTCTTGAACAGAGTTACATAGATGTTGGTAAGAAGGGGGGACAATTTTATGTGAGGGAGTCACGCATAGCCCTTTTCCATACATGTGGGTGAGGGTAAGTCCCCTTCTCCCTGTAGGCAGGGGGATTCTACAGGCAGTGGGGTCAGAAGTGACAACATAATTTCTTGGGAGAGCTAACCCATCATAAAAGGGAGGGCTTGGGTCCATGCAAAACCAGCAATGGATAGTAAGGTTAGGGGAAGTATTATTTAAAGCAATAAATGTGGCATTTAGGAGGTTTGTAAGCCCAGGGGATGGCTGCAAGGGCTCTTGGACCCATTGGATCTCTGGGGGTGTGGATCTAGGTGTGGGCAAAGTAGCAGTTTTATCCAGTCAGACAATTTGGCTAGGAGCTGGTCTCTCGTTAGATTTAAAAATAGTTAAGGCCAGTGTTGGTCGTCCTATACACTGTAAAACTGTCTGAGCTGGCCCCATCTGGGTCCCCGTGACTGGACCCACCTGAAGACGGACTGAAAAAGTATTCCTGGACCAGTCCCTGTGGTGTATAACCTGAGGTCCCAAGTTCGCCCATCAACCCATTTTTGTAGGTTTTTAAGTTCCTTTCCTTTCGGGGTGAAGCTCAAGGAGATAGGGTTGCATCTAGAGGAGGAACAGAGTCCCTCGAATTGCCTTGATCTGGGGTTTTGCCAAAGGGTTAGGCCTGTGACCACAGTTACCTGGATCAAGTCGGTAGTGATGGGGGCAGCCCAATTAATATATCCAGCAGACACACAGCTCCATGAGGCACAGAAATAGTCCCCTGGCCCCCCACAGGTACTTCTTTGGTCACCATTGTCACCTGGGCAAACTTAGGAGTGGTGCTCCTTCATCCTCCTTCAGCCCAGGGGAGACTGGCAAGCATCATTTACAGTGCCTGATGGGGTGTACGATTCCTAAGCTCCTTCGAGCAGGTCGCAGAGGTCAAATGTAATCTTGGGGAACCAGGTGCCTGGAGGTTCCAGGTGGGAGGAGATGTTCACTATCTTTCCAGTGGATGTGCTACTAACTACCCAGGTGAGGTTTTGGAGTCCATGGGGGGAGTTAGCTAGGGCAGGCTCTATAAAAAAATAAAAAAGCAACAAGGGTTATGGTGTGGCAGAGATTTTTAGCTTGAGAGGGTTGTCTTTTACCCATGTGACCTTCCATCTCTTGTCGACTTGGTCTGACCAATCTGATACAGGCTTTAGATGTGAGTGATGTATCCAGGTCCGGACACCAGCCACCTTAACTGGAGTAGGGGTGGTGAGGGTCATGATGTGCGGCCCCTTCCATCAAGGTCCGAGGGACTCCTTGTGGTGCCGTCTCACCCAAACAAGGTCTCCTGGCTTGAATCAATACGGTTAGGCTGGTGGCAGTTCGTAGATGTGCCTCAGCAAGGGGAAAACGTTGTGCAATCTGTAAGGCCTGTAGGGACTTAAGAAATTGGGATTCAGACAAGTCAGTTAGCACATCTGAAGGCAGCTTGGGAAGCAGAGGGGGTGGTCAGCCATATATGATTTCATAAAGTGTTAGGCCTTGAGTATATGGGGTATTTCTGACCCTGTATAGGGCAAAAGGTAGGAGGCCTGTCCAGTCATCATCAGTTTCTAGGGTTAATTTGGTCAAGGTCTCTTTAAAGATCTGATTCATTCGCTCTACTTGCCCTGAACTCTGGGGGTGGTATGCACAACTTAACTTCCAATTAGTTCCCAGTGTTTTAATTAACTCTTGAGTTACCTTAGAGATGAAGGCTAGTCCATTGTCTGACCTGATCACAGAGGGGAGTCCATACCTTGGTATTAGTTCATCAATGATATTTTTAACCACCATTGAGGTGGTTTACCACTTTGTGGGAAACGCTTTGACCCATCCTGAAAATGTATCTACAAAGACTAGGAGATATTTATAGCCATACCTGCCAGGTTTTACCTCAGTGAAGTCCACCTCCCAATGGAGTCCAGGGGCAGTGCCCCTCTCCCTTCTGGCTGGGGGCATGAGTTTTCCTCTTGGATTAGTAACCTGGCAGGAGCAACATCTGGAAAGACAGCTCTCAATCATTTTGGTTAGATTGAAGATGTGGTATGGAGTCAGGAGTTCTTGTAACTTCCTCTTTCCTAGGTGAGTCCCTTTGTGGAGTTTATATATGAAGTTCTCAGCCAGCTTATGCGGCAGAATGAGCCTCCCATCAGAGGTGTATCTCCATCCATGCTTGATCTTGGTATTTTCCAGGGAAGTTAAATCCTGATCGTCCTGAGCTGAGTAGGAGGGCTCTTCTGGCAAGAGGTGTTCAGGCAGAATAACCAGTAGGTTCGAGGCTGTTAGGGCTGCTTCTCTGGCTGCTAGGTCCACTCTCCTGTTTCCCTGTGCCTCCAGTGAATCCCCTTTTTGGTGCCCCAGACAATGGATGATGGCCAATCTCTTTGGTAACCATATGGCCTCCAGGAGTTTTAGGATTTCTTATTTATTTTTGATAGTCTTTCCTTCTGCTGTCAGAACCCCCTCTCCTTGTATATAGCCCTGTGGACATGAGCTGTAGAGAAAGCGTAATGGCTATCGATGAAAATGTTAACAGTCTGGTCTTTACTTAGCTTTAAGGCCTGAGTCAGGGCAATTATTTCAGCTCTCTGGGCAGAGGTCCCAACTGGTAGGGAGGAGGCCCATACTGTCCACGATGGACTGACGACAACCACCCCCATGTACCTGGTTCCTTCCTTAATGAAACTACTTCCATCCGAGAACAGAATTAAGTCCAGATGGGGCCATGGAATATCCGTCAGGTCTTCCCGAATACCATGTAAGCTGCAGAGTACCTCCAGGCAGTCGTGCAGGACCTCAAGATCCAGTTCTTACAGCAAAGTGGCAGGATTGAGAGCAGTGCTGGAGAGGAAATGGATGCGAGGGGGATTAAGGAGCAAGGCCTGATAATGCGTCAACCAAGCATTCGTTATCCATCAGTCGGGGGGATTTTTAAGGACCCCTCAATCGAGTGAGGGGTGGTGACTGTAAGGGGCTGTCCCAGCATGAGC